CCCTGGGAATCCAAGGACAGTGGGACTGATTGTCACCATTTTCCCCTTTCTGATAGGATCTCCACTGAGACATAGTCTTCCTGGAATGAGGGATGACTCTGGGACCTCAGGTCATTTAATTTTGGTAACCATCTTGAGCCTGATTCCTATTCCCATTTTACAGATGAGAACTCCGAGGCTTACAGAGCTGAGGGGGATTTAAGTAGGGTCAGTACTGAACTCAAGCTTATCAGACTCTGGTTTCCAGGCGTCCATCCAGCTGGCACCTAATGGGACCCCACTCACCATGCCACATCTCTGGGTGAGCAAGAGCAGAAGGCAAACTTTGAATCACTGTCCAGGGAAGAAGGCAGCCCTCCCCAGGAAGGCTACTGTTTCAGTCTCCACTTGGCTTGAGGCGCCAAGCCCTGACCTGACATCCCTCAGGGTGCTCCCCCAGGAACCCTGCAGAAAAGGATGCCCTGGTACCTGAACCTCAGGGAGGTATCGGGGACAGAGAGGGAAGGAGCCACAGTTCACAGATTTGCCTCCAGGGGTAGATGCTAAGCACTGGTGGAAGCCCTGAGGGGTAACCCATCTGCCTGCAGTCTTCCCTTTCTCTTTGCTTCCCATCTCTCTCTCTCTCTCTCTCTCTCTTTCTCTCTCTCTCTCTCTCTCTCTCTCTCACCTCTCTCTCACACACACACACACACACACACACACACAAACTCCTTCCCCTTAGCCAAGCTGGCTGGGTGCAAATCCAACGTCTGCCACTAACTACAAGCTTGTACAATTTACTTAAGGTCTTTGTGCTTCAGTGTCCTCAACTGTAAATTAGTGGTTATCAACCTTGCCTACCCCAAAAGTGTTTTTATATGGAGTCTGGGGTCTCACTGCGTAACACTTTGATTCAGCAGGTCCAAGGGACCTCATCTGGAAAAACCATTGTCCTGAAGAGTGCTGCGCTTGGGCAACGCAGACCCACTCAGCTTTCCAGATTTTGGGATGAGCGCACATACTGGTTTCTGCCTCTCTGGTTTTAGCATCTTAGCACTTTCAAGACTATCTTCATTTCAGTGGCAAATTAAATGAGCAGGTTTCCGTTCCTCTGTTTCCTCATCTGTAAAATGGAGATAATAGTACCTATCAGGGTTGCTGTGGAATGACTGAAACCTTTGTAATGCTTGGAGCATTGCCTCCCCCACAGTAAGCGCAAGCTATTATTGAAATTCGCAGATACTGTGTTGAACGAAAATACTTTACATTACATTGAGTTTCTCCTTGTATTTTTTTAAGAGACAAAGAAAGTTTAATAGCTACACTGCTATAGGCAACAGCAGGCGACGTAGAAGTGCCTGTGTGAGCCTCTTCTTGCATTTCAAGATGAATTAATTTCCCCCGGGGCGAGAAGTGAACGAAAAGGGGCCACAAAAGGGGCTTCTCGGGTGCAATCTGTTGTCCTTTACGTATTGGTTATACAGGTGTTTCATTCACTTGTGGAAATCCACCCTGCTTGCGATTTGTCCACATATAATGCACTATCTCCAAGGATCTTCATGGTTTTCTGAAGAACGCAGGGCAGGCATCCTCATCCCCGTTTTTTAAACAAGAAACTGAGCCCAAGGCAGCAATTTTGATTTGGCCAAAGCAGTAGGGGATGGAGGTGGGGAAGCTTCTCAGTTGGGCCCTCCATTAGGGAGAATAACCGCCGCTCCCGGAGGGAGAGGAGAGAACAGTACCTGGCTCCAGGTAAAGCTCAGCAAAGGGTTCT